TATTTGATGGAGCTGTGAAGTAAAATAACTAAAGCAAACACTTCACTAGAGGGACCCAGGAGCCTATTTGAATGCGGAGGCACACACTCCTAAGAGTAAGGTAAATGAGAAGGTACTGAGAGAGCAGAAATGGTTCAGTGGTTAAGAGCATGCCATACAGGACCAGGGTTCAGTTCCCAAAGCCCACAGCCAAGACGAACAGCAGCTTCAGGAGATCTGACACCCTCTTGCTTCCATGGACACACAGATGGTACACACAAACACACACACACAAGTAAAATACAACATGCACAGCTCAAGTACTGGAAAGAAGAGCCAGGAAAGGGTTTGAAGTTCTTAAAATTTGGGCCATTTGAAAAAGCAAACACGTAAACAAACAAACTTGGTTAGCAAATCTTCAAGTTAAAAAATATTAATGTATATCCAAGTTAAATGAAATCCAAGGAAAGTAAGTACTACTATATCCACTCTTATACAAATGAAAAACCTAAACGCGGCCAGAGAAGACAGGCTCATGGGGTACAGGGCCCAGACGACCAAAGCAGCAGTTGGCATTTCAGACCAGAAAATGGTTGTGCAGGTAACAATCCTGTACCCAGTAAAGCTACTTCCAAAGGAACACAAAACTAAGAATGTTCCCTGATAAAGACAGAATTTATAGGTGTGAAATTTTCTGAGAAGTCTGAAGGAAATGACACCAGATGGTAACTTGAATCCACATAAAAAATTAAGAACACCGGTAAAGATAATTATGTAGGTAAATGTGAAAGATAATGTAAATGCATTTTTAAAGTTTTCTTCTCTTATTTAAAAGATAATCACATAGAAACTAAGTGTATAGTTTTAAAGTATATTACAGTAGCAGGACAAGAAAGGGAATTATACAGAAGAAAAGTTTCTGCATTTGGCTGGAATTCCATATTGATGTTAGAGTGTAGCCTGTGTAACTCAGGAAATGTCTGTAGTGACACTCTTTCTGCTGGGTGGGATCGGGGATATGGGTTCACCCACACTCCAGGAAGAGTAGTCTCAGCTAGAACTAGAAGCCAGAACCTGAGTCTCAGCTTCAGTGAGGAATACACTCCCATGTTAAGAAGGCTGGTATGTAGTTCAGAGAAACAGTGCTTGCGTAGCACATGTGAGGCCCAAAGTTCAATTCTCAGAATTAGAAGAAAAAGGTTTGTTATTTTTATTTTTGGCTTTTTTTTTCTTAAACAAAATGAAAGTTGTTGGGTTTTTTTTGTTTTGTTTTGTTTTGTTTTTTTGTTTTTTTTTTTAATTTAGAGTAGGTAACAGACACAAAAATGGCCAGGAAGGAGGCATATGTAAATGAAGTATAATGTTAATACATAGATGACTGACAGAATTTATTTTCTTAAAGCAGAGTCTCACTATATAATCCTGACTGACCTCAAACTGAAGAGAAACTGCTTCTATCTCTGAGTGCTGGGGTTATAGACAGGAGTACCACACAATGCTGCAAATGTTAAATTCCAAACAGAAAAGGCAAGGACAAGGACAGATTATATGCATATGATCACAATAAAGCTGGAGTGGCCACAGCAACAGACAGGAACTTTACGATTAAATGTCTTTACAGAGAAGTAACCCCAACACTTGGGAAACTGAGCTTCAAGTCCTGCCTGAGTTACATAGCAAGATTCTGTCTGAAGAAGTCACTAGAGAAAAGAGAGGGGTTACATTGCAATACTTAAAGCATCAAAAAGGGCTGAGGTTGCAGCTGAATGAATATGCAGGCCCTGGCATCCATCCCTTAGCACTGGGGTAATCTGCAGCTAGGTGCAGTGCTGTATGCCTGTACTCACAACAGCAGCAGCTAGGTGCAGTACTGCTTGCCTATACTCAGAAGTGGCTAGGTGCAGTACGCATGCCTGCACTCAGAACAGTGGCTAGGTGCAGTGCGGCATGCCCGTATTCACAGCAGCAGCTAGGTGCAGTATTGCAGGCCTGTACTCATAACAGTACAATCACCTGAGTTCACTAACTCAGGGCCAGCCTGAACAACACAGCAAACACCTAGTCTCCTTTAAAAAAGAAAGTATCAGTAAATCAGAAGGACACTAAGGAAAAACACCTGTACAACTGACAACACCCTCCAAAGCAGGTTTTATTAGCCACATTTAATGACAAAGCCAGAGACAGGGTCTCTAACACCATCACCAAGGCAAAAATGCCCAGTCTGTTTACTAGAGAGCCAGACCCAATACCATTCCCTACAAAAAAAAACAATTCACTGGAAACACACTCTCAAAAGACAACCTGATCCTGAATAAAAAAAAAAAAAAAAACAAAACTATGGAATACATGCATATAAATAGACACGCTATAGTTGTTTATGAAGGCTGCAGAATACAAAGCCAATACAGAAATATCAATTGAACAAGCTTTTACATTCTTGTGTGTCACTGGTGAGGGAACTATAAACAGTTTACCCTAAAAACACTTTAAAACGGAACATCTTGCTCGGCAGCTGTGATGCACACTTAAGAATCCCAGCACTCAGGAGGCAGAGGCAGGTGGACCTCTCAGTTCAAGGTCAGTCTGTTCTACAGATTGAGTTCCAGTACAGCCAGGGCTACACAGAGCAACCCTCCCTCTCTTAAAAAAAACAAAACAAAACAACCACTGGTTGCTCTTCCAATGAAAACCAGGTTCAATTCCGGGTTCAATTCCCAGCACCCATTTGGCAACTCACAACTGTTTGTAACTCCTCCCAAGTAGTTACACACAGTTCACACACACAGGCATACATGCAGACAAAACACCAAAGCATATAAAAATAGAAATTAAATTAAAAAATTAAGTACACATTTAGAAACACCAAGCAATGAATTTCAGAGCTAAGTGAACTGCAACTGAAGAATCCTAACAAAGCTCCCTGTAAGCACACCTGGGTAAAGATTAGCTTTATTACTGAAAAACTTTCCTACAGAGAAGCCAAATTTGTAAATAAGTATGTAACTGAATTTCACATATTTTAAAATATTCCAGTAAGTAGAAAATTCCAAGTTTATATATATGATAAAGCATAAAGACATTTTTTAAACATAGATAATTTGGTATGTTAACAAATTTTGAATTCCCTCTGGGATCCTAAACTGCTGCAAAGCAACACTTAAGAGATTATCAGGGAGGCAACTCAGTGGACAGTGACTGCCATGCAAGCATGAGGACCAAAGTTTGACACCCAGCATCCATGAAAAAGTCAAAAGGGTATGGGGCCCCCAAAGTAAATATGTGTACACACATTTATGCACACATTAAGCACGCATGCAAAAAAATTACCAATGAAATGCAGATATTGTTAAACTACGTCATTAACCAAAGAACAAACAATTCAAATACATTCAAAAATAGATTTTACGATGACTTACTAAAGGAATCAAGGAGCAATTGTGTAGCTGGTCCATCAACTCTACCTACAGAATATCCCCTGGAGACATTCCTCCAGTGACAAAATACAGTCAGATGCACTGGCTACTGTACTATGAGCAACTATAAAATGTGGGAATCCCTCAATGCCTTAGGAAGGAAGGAGGCTGAAGAGACACTGCACTACCCACTTGCTGGAGCACTGCACCTTTGTGCAGAATAAGGAAGTCTCTAAGAAGTGATGCAGAGATTACAAGGAACTTTGTACTAGAAACACATGCAATGCAGAATGCCATCCTTCATGTAAGCACAACCATGAGCACATTAAACACCTGCGAATACCAAAAATCCTGAGTTTATATCAATGTTTGATTCAGTCTAGTGTAACACCAATCGAGCCATTTCAGTTTGTCCATTTGTGACTTCTTTGTCCAACACTGAGAAACCTGACACATTTAAACACACACACACACACGCTTTTTGTGCAGAAGAAACAAAGGTTGAATCAGAAACTGAAAGCAGGTTCCTTACGGTACGAAGATGAAGATTTGGGCAGAAGAAACCATTGTAATGAGACTGGCTGCTCACAGTCTCATGGTGGTGTAAGAGAGTGGGAGAGCAGAAGGAAGAGTGGCACTTCTCTGATATCTCTCACTCAGCTCTGACTCAGAATCACATTAACTTTCACAAACTCTTTCCATGCCTCCCATATGAACCATTAATTCAGCTGGGATGTGGAGGGAAGCCACGGGAAAATACAAAGAGCAACAAATGAACCCAAGCTGCAGCACAATCCCAGTGAAGGTAATGAAAGTGGGAAGGGAACACACAGAACAACTCAAAGGAACTTTGGGCACTGGTTTCAGTGTGTGTCTCACACCAGTACAAACAAGCACTACTCAAACTCCCTTAGTGTTTCACACAGACAAGTGTATGTAAAAGCCAGGCTAGCTGATGGTGAAAAAAAAAAAAAGTCACAAATACAGACAATCAAATGAATCAAAATCAAATGAATCATGCAGCCTCAGATTGCAATCAAGTCTCAGTGTAAAGGTATAGTTTTAATAAACTCAGATATTAAAATATGTGTCTGTTAGTCTACATACATGCATAGCTCTGAAGGCTGAATAGGCCAAGCACTGACCTATAAACAATAAACACATGTAAGCAGATGTTGATCTCTAGATACCACTGTCTTAGGAACAAGAGCTCATTCCAAGGCTAGGACAGAAGAAAAAAGCAGAACATGAGCCTGTAACATTTTGGTGTTCAAGAACAAAAGCATTCAAGAGCAGAGAGAACTTAGTTGAATGCAAGCCGGTGGACCCAGCCCCTGAACCCATGATAGCAGGACTTCAAGTACAAGAGCAACCAGGGTGACAATCTGCCTCAAAAAAATAAAGTTTACATTCATACAAATGAAAGTATAGTTTCAAGTACAGTTTAAAACTGTTTAAGACTGACTGATACTGAGTAATACTGTATTTCATGTGGGTCTTCAGCAGAAAACAAAAACGCTGTTGGACACTTTCCTTCTACCATCATCTCGTTCTATAAAAGGGACTTACTTGAAAGAAGGTACACAAATACATAGAGCAGGCTCAAAATAAGTTCATGAACATGGAAAGTTATTTAATGACAGCACACTTGAAGTTACACGTCTGAAGATACAACAGTCCTACAAAGAGGCTTATATCTGGAGGTTAGCACAGGAAGCCTAGCATAAGTGGCAGGTAAGAAGGAACAAATGTACCTAGAGTGGGTATGACGTGATAGTTTGGTTTAGGAGTGGGTGATCAGAAAGAAAAAAAATTTAGTAAAAAATGTGTACAGATGATCAACACTGGCTATTAAAAGTCTTTCAAATTCAGCCCCCATTCTGAATTACCCATTAACTAGCCTGGATTCAAGCTTATCCTTTTATCATTAAAATATGTATTTCATAAAACTTTGACAGTGGCACTGTTCTAGTTACAGCTTCAACTTTTCTAGGACATAATTTCACTTTGTTTAAGCAAGAATTCATTAAAGAAGCTATAAATAACCTTTAAATATTTAGCTATGAATAGAGGGTAGACTGGGGCTGATGGCTTATTTTAGTACAAATGCAGAATGCTATGTTTTAGCATGCATCAAGCTAATGATCAACACTTGCATTGTAATGGTCAACCAGAGACTGAATGTCTCTTTAAGGAGTTTGGCTACAAATAATTACAATATTTTATTTTTTGTTCTTGGTAGCAAAGCAACCTTGAAGAATGAAAATATAAGGAAGATTGAAACATTAAAAAAAAAAATCTTTATTTAAAAAAAAATTTAAAGCATCTAGACAAACTTTTCTCTCCCAAAGGATAATCCCAGTGAAAACTATATGCAGGGGGAGAGAGAGGTGCTTGTGAGACTTTAAAAATTCAAGAATCTGTGGCATGGCCTATATAGCATACACACAAATCAATGACATTTTTATACACAATTCTAAACCAGGAAGTTCACAACATTTTATAAACCAAGTTTCATCAAAATTTTAGTTGCAAAAAAAAGTTGTACAAAATATTATTCTCCTAGTGAAATTTTCCCATAGGGTTTGTGTAGCCTCTTGCCTTAAAGACCACAGTATAACATTCAAAGAAAGTTTTTCAAAGACCCACCTAGCTATAAAACCTACAAAAGATGTAGATTTTTCTTAAAGTGCCTTTAAATGTAAAAGCAAGTAATATAATTGTTGAATCTATTTGAAAATTTTTAAGTTTCTTTAATATGGTCCATATGGCAAGCACAACATCACAGCTGGTACAAAACTGCCTATGTTTAGTTGGAAACACAAAAACAATGCATGACAGTATTCTTTGAAAAGTAATTCGAAATGCTACTACTGCATCCTAAGGCCAATTAGACAGTATTCAGAGAATTAACAAAGCCAGCAGAACATTACAGCATTCAAACATTTACTTTGACTTTGTAAGTGCGACTGAAAAAGGTGAGGGGACTGCTGTCAGGCGCGGGACCTTTCCAACTCCATGGACCAAATTTGCTGTGTCCTACAGTGCAGCTGGAGCTGCAAAGGTGAAGCCCATCCTTTCTCTAGCTTTTCTGCTGCAACCTGGCAGCTCTGAACTTCGAAACCCTTTTTGCAGGCTCTTCTGATGCTTCTGACAGAACTTCTTTTCGTTCTGGAATGGTGGGTAGAGCATGATGAGCAATGGCTGAGTGTGATACTAAGGAGGGGGATAAAAATTCTTTTTCTATTACAGTTCCCGAAAAAGCCTATAAGACAAAAGTATATGGTGTTAAATATAACTAAGATGCACACAAAAATCTTTACCTACATTACCAAGACTTTTCTTTTCAACTAAAACTAAAGTAATAAGAATTTTGTATAATAAACATCAAAATACTAATTACTCAGAGAAACCAAGTAACTTTTTTTTTTAATTATACCATGAAATATAAGGAATCTTTTACAATGGACAAATAAGAAAACGAAATTTAAATAAGGCACGGTGACACACACCATTAATCCCAGTACTCAGGAGGCAGAAGCAGGTAGATCTCTGAGAATTTAGAGGCAGGTTGGAATACAGGGGAAGTTTCAGGTCTACACAGAGAAATCATGTCTCAAAAAAAAAAAAAAATCACAATGTAAAACAATGATGTAAAGCATCTCTTTTATCTGGGAGAATACAAAATGACAAATAAAAAGTACCCCAAATAGCTACCTCATTTATATCCAGTTCTCTGTGAGCCATCTACTAAACACAGAAACTACAAGGATTACAAGAATATGAAAGACAGACTTCTGTCCAGGCTCCCTTGCTTCCCTGCTGCCTGACAGTCAAAAGCTTACTTTCACCAATGCTGACATTTCTTTTGGGGGGCTAATCTATACAAGTTTTTAAGTTCTTTATTGCACTTTGCCTTCATTTAAAAAAGAAAAAAAAGTCAATAAAAAACTAAAAAGCAAAGGTGCTGAAACTAACATGAATCAGAACAGCTTTAAAATTCTAAGACAATTCAATGGTATAAATTAAACGTCACAAAAAAAAAAGCTCTTTCATTGTTGCTGTTTATGGAACTTAACACAATCAAAACTTACTATGTTCAACTGAAATGAGACTAAACGACATGCAAATCAACAAAATGCCTTAAAGTGTCTTTTCATATCAAGAAAAATGAAAACCAAGGAGTCACTTTTTTAAAAACTATCTAGTATTTGCAACCTCTCCCCTCCTAAGAATTTAAGCATAAGAACTGAAAACTTTAAAATTTAAAAAGCGAGCCTGTGAAATATGAAAAAGAACTAAGACTCATACCTCAGAAACTCCTGAGGAGGGCAAAGGCTTCTTGGGGTGGTTGTCTTGGAGTTCTTCCAAAATGCTCCCACTGGCATCGCTGCATGCAGCCTCCTCAGAGCTCACGCTCCTCAGAATCCCCCGCCGGTCATCCACATCAGCAGCACTGCTCTCACTCGTATCACTGCAGACACTATTCTCTCTGCTGCGCGACTTCAGAATTGACTTCCGAGGAATATACTCTCCATTCACAACATCCACAAAGACTCTACAGCAGTCAAGAAATGTAACTTCATTTTAAAGGCTCATAACTAAGAAGAACTTCACAAAGATTTCTTTTTTTTCCTATAAATTAATCTAAAATTTGTTTTTTTTTTTAAAAAATGTTTGAGTCAGGGTCTCATGCAGCCTAAGCTTACTCTTTCCTCCTGACTCTGCCACCTTCACCTCCACGTCTCACCAAACTCCATTTAGTCTTCTTGCTAAAATGTCTTCTCTAAATATGTCACATTCAGAGTAAGTTTACAACTTCGCAAAACGCGCTTTATGTTACTTTCAAAGCTGAGTTTGGGGCCCCAATAAAATAGTGTGTAACTTGTGGATATGTTCCAGATAAGAACAGCTTGATCTTCCAAAATAATTTATACATAGCTACTTCAAAACATCAGAAATTTTCACCAGTTTGCAAATATGGGTCATAAAATGGTACGCATTTTCAAACTGGACAGTGTAACAGAACAAACTCATGACAGCTGTGGCAAAAAAGTTCTACATGGAACACCAAATTCTGATTCCCCAATGACATATGAAGAGGACAAAGAGGAAGAAACCATCCAGTACCCGGGTACTGGGTGGCAGTTAGGCTCTCAATCTCCCCCAGCAGACTACCTTAGTCTTTGGTGAAAACCTCCCAATCAGCCAGCCTCCTGCAAACTGAAAACAGAAGGAAAAGTCCACAGACAGACCATCCAAGACCATCACTTCCCTGTAAATATCAGCAGGGCTCCTGATTGCAGGCAGCTCATGCGTAGCATGGCTGCCAGCACTGCTCTTTCGTTTTCGTTTGGCTTCCTCTTTCTTTTCACTGAATTTTAAAGTGGTATTTTTCCCAGTATTTATTCGAACCTAAAATTCACAAGAAAAAAAAAAAAATCAAAAACTTTCAAAAAAAAAAAAAAAAATTAAGTCCCACAGTAAAACAAATTACCAGCAGCAGACCCTGCTGAAATTCTTCAGCACTAAAATTATGTATGTGATCAAGATTGACTCTTTTGCACACTTCTAGAATACTACATCTTCAACAGCCTATTCTAGCACCAGTGTCTTTACTGTATGCAAAGCAAAATACATTTAAACTAAATTCTATACTGACCATAAACTTTGGTCCCCTTGCCTTCAACATTACATGCATTTGTGTCTTAATCCATGTGCTGCTAGCCTGAGTCACAAGGGCAGCAGGAGATAACACTTAACTATCTAAACTGCTTAAGTACTGCTAACTTCAAGAAACAGATCAGACTAAGAAAAAGCCAAACATGCTCAAGACAGTAGTCTACTCTTCTGTGGCGATATAGCATTTATACTGCACTTTCCAAGAACAGTACTTCTAATGGTATTTGTGTATGGCTTTATCTAAATAAAAACAAGAAAAAAAATTTGTAAAGCCTAGAAAAAAAGACATCAAGAATGTTTCAGTTTCAATCATTCCCAAAATTCCAAAAACACTTTAGCTTAATGTATTAGAATTAAGAAACAAAAAAATACACATAAGCCTAAAAAATATCAAGTAAGATTAAAATCTTGTCTCCTTACATAATAATCAGGTATTGTAGACTGCCCCACTGACCAGCAGGGACCCTGATCGCTGCTGACCAGCTCTGCCTTATAGGCTTTCAAATTCCCTAAAACACAGAACCCAAGGCCCTCAGCACAGTGCACAAGAACAAATGAAAGGTGGTCAGGGATGGAGAGATGGTACTCATCCTTCATCCATTCATAGCTAGTCCACTTCACCCATTTTAAACACTGGGCTTCTATCAGGGATGTAGAACAAAGGCTTTGTAATAAAGCAAAGTTTGAAAAGAACGCTATAGTCAATCTCGGCTCCGAAATGCTAAAATTCTAAATCCATTACACTACACATCTATATTTGACAAAAAAAGGACCCAGTTGTCATTCCACCCGACACCAAATTTTTCCTTGTTGCTCAGGATACCAGTACTCATTTGACACCCACATAAAAACAACAACCTGGTGCCAAAAATAATTAATTAACTAGTCATACAGCCATTTTCATATCTGAAAGCAAACCAGGAGAGTCCTGGATTAAGGCATATGAGACCTTCTATTCAAGTGTGCATTTAGTGTGCCTTCTGAGAATGACAGACTACCATCAGTAACTAATTACTCTTTTAAGATGAACTGGTCAGATAAAAGGAAAAGACACTTTTCCTGTTTGGCAATATCAACAATCTTAATCACTGTTAATGTTTTTCTCTTTAAAATACAGATGGATGACATTTAATGCCAAAAATATTAGAAGTATACAAACCCTTTTAGGTTCAACAGTATGAGAGAAATATATTGTTGGTATAGAGTTATCTGCTGAAATAGTGTGGTCATTTTCATTATTATCATCATCACCATTATCTTCATCATCATCATCATCATCTTCATCATCATCTTCATCTTCTTCATTGCTGTGGTAAGAATTTGAACCATTCACTGAACAGTTCAAATGACTATTAGCTTGACCATTAGGGAGTCCTGATCGTCCAGCATTCCTACAACAGCTGCTGGGGGAAAAGGAGTCTGTCACTGGAGGCACCACATTCACACCTGTGCCTTGATCTTCCTTCTCCTCCTCAGAAGACACTGTGTCTTCTCCATTTGCAATGTCAGTGTCAGGCTTACTAAGTGAAGAAAAGAGAGTATTAGTAAGATCAAACAAATACAAAGAATCGAAACAACAGCTCTTACAAACCTCAGCAAACTCTAGCTACTCAAACATAAGAATTCACAAGATAAATATATATCTTTATATATGGACATTGGCTAGATGTAGCACAAGTACAATATAATTAAGAAATTTGGCAGGCATAGTGGCACACTGTCTTAAATACCAGCACTTGGGAAGCAGAGGCAGTTAGAGATCTGAGTTCAAGGCCAGCCTGGTCTACATTGCAGGATAAGTTCCAGAACAGCCAAGGGTAACACAGAGAAACCCTGAGGGAGAGAGAAGGAGGGAGAGAGGAAGGAGAGAGGAGGGAGATAGGGAGGGAGAAAGAACTGGCAGGCAGGCAGAAAGATAGATAGATAATTTATAAGACGGTGCCTACCCTATTTCCTGAGACCACTCCTGTTACACAGGAGTTCTGCTCATGTTCTTTTTCCCCACCATCACCTCCCTCTCTCTTGCAAGCTCCAACCTATGAATTTATAATAAAGATCCTCTCTAAAACTAAAAAATTGTTTTTAAAAATAGGTATTCTATTTTTAATAACAGAAACTAATGCTCCAAACCCACAAGCTATGATATACTATTGTTTTCCAATGTTGACCTCAGAATTTAACAGTGTGTTCTGGAATTTTTCAAGACAAAGGATTTCTACATGTGTACATGAACATACATTTACACACAAATGTACATTTCTCAGGCTTCATTTCATAAGGGATCTGAAGACCTTACAAAAATAACCGAACTGAAAATGCAGTAGAACTGAAATGACATCATGCAAAAATAGAGAGCATCATGACTAAGATTCCTAAATCCAGTACTGGTTTTAAAAACTGAAAGAGTACCAGCGATCAAAAGGACCTAGCAATTCATAGGTGAAATGGTAGGGAAAATCTTTTGCATTTTATGTCCTATTTTTCACAGAAACTAATTATGGTACATACACTAATGCGGTACATCATTTAAGCAAAATAATATAGGAACTTCTGTAGTAGCAAACTTCATATCGCACTCTGACAATTCTAAGTGAGTGCTAATGTGTATTTCAAATAGCAGTTTGGTGAAGCTTCTCATACATAGAACTACCTGACTAGATTACAAATTACCTGCTCAATAAACAGAAAGTTTGTAAATTCAAGGACAAACATTTTACAGTATCAAATTTAAATTCAAAGCCACTTTTTTCTTTTTAACAAGTCACTCAAGGATAGAGCATTATCCTGAGAACACTATAAAATTATATCATTTAAAATTTGTTATTTAGGAGTGGCAGCTGTGGCACTGTAGAATGCTTCTCTTACAGGATAAAAGCATTAATTAGTTCAAACCTCAACAGCTCAAAAAACAAACTTTGGTCACCTTTAAGTTTTCTGTTAATATTTAATGCAATCACTGATTATCAAGTATAATTATTTCATTATATATTATATATGAGATTTGAGTAACACAAAAAAGAGATTGTGATTTTCAGTGTGGGTATTTTCCTAAAAGGAAATAGTCTACGAAAATAATATTTATCTGAGGGCAAAAAGACTGCTGATATTTCTACAGTTTTCTGCATTTTCTTCAACGAGCACACACCATCTTATGAACAAGGAAAGAAACATTCTCTTGGAAAACATATCAGTCATTAAGCACCTATCAAGTTCACCCAGCAATTCTTCTTGTCTCTCTAGCTCTTCAAGTCGAGCCCATAGCTCCTCATCAGCAAGCATATCCTTAGCTTTTACATCATTTTCAAAATCTGCTTCAAAAATATCTGAAGTTTTTGGTTTGGAGTGAGGTTTATGAGCAATTCGTTGTTTTCCTATTTTAAAAAAGCAAAGACATGACTGTTAATAGTCTACATGAGAAAGGCTAGA